GTAAATCATCTAGCTACTCACCTTTTTTTACCGCCTTTGTTGAATGGTTTTAATGGCTTTGACGTTATTGTATTAACCGCATAAAGAACTTATTCGAGTTTTTTCGTATTTTTTTGTGAGTATACCTGACATCATTTCGGTTACCTTCAATTTGTTGTAAAATTTAATCTCAGCTGTGCCTCGGAAATGATCTACAAGTGAATTGCTGCTTGGATATATTTTTTGCCTAAATTTGCTTCATAAAAGTAGTGGTATTTGAAAATGGCATGAGTTTTGCAAAATATAATTGGGAATTTGAAAGTCACGAACCTGCGGTTGATTTGGTGATAATAAGCATTAACAAAGACCAAAATGGCCATGTATCGTCAGCATGAGATGTCTGGTCGCTCACTTAAGGCGTCGGCCATTTACTTTCACGCCATCGGCATACTCTTCCGGGGTCATTTGAGGTCTCTTGAGGTTCATAATTCGGCATCCTAAACTACCTTGTTTACGTTCCCACCTGCTTGTGGTCTGCGTTTCTGTTCCTACTGCGATTCTTATATTTCAAAATAAACACTGATTTCTCCGGCAAGTGTGTTTAGCGAAAGACACAAGAATCCTATAGTCAAAAACCGGAAGTTTTTACTTTAATTACACTAATGGTATGCTTCCAAAATAACCACATCTTCAGAGAAAGTTATCAGATTTCGCACGAGGAAAATGGGACCTTTTACGCTTGTTGATACAATTCTATCTAATCTTCCCGAGGATAACTGTTTGAACAACTGTAGGCGCACTGTTGTGAGGTGGCTTCCCTCCCGGAAGTCTCAGCCTTCATCAGCACCGTTCTGGAGGACCGAAAAGTAGCTGCAGCCTCGCACAACATCACCGCATGGTATCTACAGGCCAAACTGAAACCCGACTCCCCCAATACCTCTCTCGTCGCTGACTACGATGACGATGGCGAGGCCCAAGCCGGTGGACGACTGCTCCACCTCATTAGCATGTCAGCGAGGGAGGGTGTTGCTGTCATGGTAATCTCGCATCTACTAGTCCTCATCCACTTTTATTCACCTCCTTTTGCATAAACTGTTGCGACTAATGACCTCGCTGTCCTGAGTATGCGACACATTCGTTGACTTCAGCGTTAGTAGTGACTTATCCCACTGTACTGTGGGCTTCCACAAGTATCTATTTAGATCATTTGTTCATCCGACCCTAAGATTGGTCCCACCTTTAAAACCAACTGCTCAGTTTTATCATGGCAACTGAAGCCATCAAGGTTACATTTTTGCGTTAGGTTTTTGAATATGGTTCAAAAATTTGCATCTCCACCTCATGCGCCTTTTGGTAGCTTATTTTTTTAACAGGGAAGTTAACTGAGTTTTCGGGTCTGAAATTTGAAGTTTCATAACGAGTACTCATGTACCTTACGTAAATGTGGTTGACTTTCGCAGTCTATTTAATTTCACTAATCCGGTCCGTGCCTAACAGGTTTTGATTTGCTGTCACTGAGCTACTGCATTTTGCCCCATCATTAGGTTTCGAGGTGGTACGGAGGGATACACATTGGACCCGACCGGTTTAAACACATCAACAACGCCGCGAATCAACTGCTCATACAACAAGGCTTCACTAAAAGTGCTACAAACTCCGGTGACATCCAAACAAAGGCTAGAAAGCGCGGCAAGAAAAACTAACCACTGAATCTTTCATGATCCCCCTATCTTGTAAAAATGAACTTTTTTTCAAAGACGATGCATAGGCCGCGTTCGTGTATTTAAGCGGGTACGCAACCTTAAAATAATGCTTGAGTAGTCATTGTCTTGCCATTTTCAGAAGCACCTCAATATAGCACCAAATGTGCGGTCCAAACTGTTTAGCAGCATCGAGTTCTTGCGTTTCTCAATAATTTAGTCAGGTGACAGCGATTGGACGTTTTGCGTTGATGCGTCTCTCTAGTACCGCGTCTTTGGATTGGCTTGACGGCCTTCGATGTGAAAGTTTTATCATTGTCATCACCTTTAAACACTCAAGGTAATATCGCACATTGACCTCGTGGTTTCGTCTTGTATTGCCTCACTAGAATGGCGTACGTGTATAAGAAAGAACTAGGACAGGCAAAGAGAGCTGGAGAGTGAAAACGCTTGTGATCAACGCATGGAAAAATGAAGGAAAAACACTGGGGGAAATGTGTGCGTGTGTGGGCTCATGTAAATGACCTCGACAACTGCATGAGGTCAATAAAACAAGTAGTGGTTATGGAAAGAGTGGTTGCAGGGAGAAAGGAGTAGATTGATCGCACCATCATGAGAGGCTCCTGATCCTCCATCTCGGAGGACGACGGCGGCGGCGTCAGCGGCAACGACCTTCCGAAATGCCCTCTTGCGAAAGGGAGGCAGTGGAACGAAGACAACAAAAAGGGCTGATCGGTGAAAGAGAAGAGGAAGAGAGACGGCGGAATGACCGAGTAGCGAAAGGAGCAGGAGTGCACGCGTGTGTCGGCGGTGAGAGCACTCAAAACAGGTCAACTCGGCGCTTGAGGTCGTTGCGCTTCCATTCAGGCAGCCGGTAGAATGCCACTCGCGAAAGCTGGAACACTTTCTCGAATTCCGAATCCGAAAGATACATCTGGAGCAAAATCATTGTCAATTAGAATAATTTGTTTGGTCTGAATATTCGCTTGTGGCGCTACCAATCCGGGATGATGGTGCGATAGAATTAGTTTTTCTTTGGAGGCCTCTTTCCTGCATAGCCGATTGCGCAGGCCTTTCTGGCTCTGTTCATATCATTTTAATGTTACTACTCCTTCAGCTCTTCTGCCCATCAATAGTAAAGCTCCTCTCCGATTCATGTAGCTCATAACAGCATTGGTTACTTGAGCACTGCAATCAGTGCTCTGACGAAAAAGTGAAGAGGATATTTGGTTATCAACTGATTGAGAGTATCGTTACGATTATGCATGTATCATTTACGACACTTAAAGGTTATGTAATTCTCCTAAGTTTATGGAAAGGTTAAATTATTTCTTTGATGTGTTCAAGTGACCGAAGGGGTGCTCCCTAAAATAACAAATCATCAAACACGGAAATTTCATTGTTAGCTCAGCTCTTCTGGTACGAGAAGCATAGGTTAATCTTCTAATGCCCGCTCAATGAAAAAAAAATTAAAAAATCGTAGTTCGCGCTTTGGATTAGAACACATACCTCAAGTCTAGTACGATCGATGCCTTTTGGAGGTCGGCCCAAACTCGCCACGAGTTCCTTGTACGGTATCTCCTGAAACAACACATCCTTTCTGTCGGAACTGAGCACGTAGCGAACATTTTACTCAGCTCTAAATTTGCTAAACTTATCCAGACTCCGTTAGAGTTCGGAGTCAAAAACCACTCGATTTCCACTCACCTTTGCAGGGCTTCCCTCGTGTTTCGTTGACATGGTGTAAGGAGTGGAGGAAACCACACTGGAGTAGCTCGGCGCAGAGCCCAGCAAACCTGTATCGAAATCCTGGCTGAGATTTGTGGCCTCGTCATCTACACGATGTCCATTCCTACGAATTGGTGACGTCTGGGACTGAATCGGAGCGTCTGTATCAGTGGAGTTAAAAACAACTTCATATGACTATGCACCAATTATTGTAGCGGGTTCATTGGGAGAGCAGTTACCTTCACAAATCTTCCCGTTTGTGTGACCGTTGGCTTGCGAGACATTGAGACGAGGAGAGGAGAAGCAGTGAGAGCCGGAGATACTGGAGGTCTTTGCTGAGGAGAGAGAAAGCTGACCGGCAGTGTAGCCTGGTCTGAGACCTGTGGAGTTGCCTGAGTGCAACGACAACAATAGCAAAGTGGACATTCAACAGTCGGTCAGTGTTGCATGAGCATAGGCAGGTGCGCCAGATGAGACCACTCGGGGGGTAAATAACACACGCACACGAATTCATAGTAGATTAGTTATTTACTAGTGGTTAGTAAGTAGTTGATCAGGCTCCATGAGCGAGGTGAGTACTTGAGTCATCAAATAGAACGCCGCGGTCTAAAAACCACTTACACCTTACTGCACGATGAAAGCTCTGCGGTGAATCTGCAAAATAGGAGGGAGGTGTGTTGATTGGGATGGATATTAATCAGTCTGTACTCCATGCCCCATTGAGGTGATGAAACAGGCGAGCTTGGAGACAGCGGTTTATTTGAAAATGTTAATCCACTCCACTTTTGCCCCTCAAATCCCCATGCCGCGAGATAAAACAACATTAAAGCAGTGCAAATAGTCAGAGACCCAAACCACAGGTGAAATATTGCCAGCCAATAATATGATTATACTAGACTTAACGCAAGACAATGACGAAGGATGAAGTGTGCAGAGGGGAACAGGGCGGGTGAGAAAGGGGGTAGAAGGACATGCGTGGAGGAGGTTGTCTTACGCGACGCAGTCCCATTCCGACGGTAACGGTGGTGGTCACTGGCAGTCCATACACGATTTCCCAGGTTGACCAGTTCCAACGAGTAGTCCAGACGATGCGGACTCACCGAGCTTCGCTGGCTCTCTCGCGAGGGTGCTATTTCCACACATACACACATATGGAGGGACTAGTTTACTCTTCTGTACACGAAATCACGCAGACCCTTTCCCTGCAATGCGATTCTATCCCCACGTCAATTGTACTTGTTGTCTGTGTTTCCAACCCACCAGCCCTTTCAAACCCCCCGGAACTATTACGGAGCCACTCTAATTATGTAAACAGGCAATATTGTTCAACTGACCACCCTCCCATCATCCCCAAACAATAACTGAATTCAAGTCATACTTGCTAATTCATATAGCGCTTTGAATCAATTATGGATTCAATAGTTAGGCATTTTAGCCATAAAGCGGAATAAAATCCTATCTTTGCGTTGCTCTATGGGTACTGTTGTTAATATTTCATTCGCGTACGTACTTTATCAGGTTATCCCGCTTCATCTATCACAGTCTGCAACTTTAGCCCCCCAGTCGGCCTGTCGCCGTGATTAAGTTACGGAGAGATTTCTACTAACCTGAAAATATTTTCACCATGACTTCAAAAAAGAGCTTCCAGTTACCACTTTTAGTAACTCCAGTCTAATATACAGAAAAATGTTATGTAAAAGCAGCATTCCTGCAACAAAATTCATGCCTACCGTGCTTCAGAAGCCATGGGTTTCTGAGAGTATGTCCTAGTTATATCATTCTGTTCCCAGTAAAAGAATGATTCCTTTTAAAGGGGTGTAAATTTACACTCATTTAAAAAAAAATTTACAAGCGGTGAAACTTGCTTGAGGTAATCAGTAAAAGTGAGAAGATATGGTGTCCAGCGCCAAAGAATGCACAGGGGTAAGAAATTTTGCCAAAAAATAAGACCTCTAGTTGTAACTGCGATAGATAATAACAGATTTGATCACTTTAACTGTTTTGGTCTCTTTTTGTTAATTTATGGAAAGATGCCGCTTTTTTAGCAAAGCATATTATAACACTGGAGTTCGGCTTATTGCTTTACGTTGTAGGTGCCATCATATAACCTGTGCTCCCAGTCTTCTGGTCCCCGCATTCAAATTTAACGGAGTGGCTTTAAAATTCATAACGCCAATGGGTAACCTGGGCCAACAAGATGGGAAATCACTGTAACGCGCTAATTATTTTTGTCCATTTTCTCCATCCCTCCCCCCTTCCACGCATGTAATTTTCTCCGAAGTAAAGAAAAATCAGTACCCATGTAGTTGAAGAGGCCTCAAATCTATAAGTGGATCACGCAGATAAAGGATCCTATTTCCATCACTTTAATCACTTTTCTGAAGCATCCTACAGACGTGAGCGCTAGGTGAAATTTGTCCCGAACCTTAGCCAAGAGAGATAGGAGGAATATTAGTCATATTGTGATTAGGCCTTATCGAAGACGGCGAGTCTTCATTGATCTACGTTTAAAACTAACCGAGTAGCCGAGATGCAACATTTCACCTGGAGAAAAAAAACGAAGCAAGAAGGGAGTGAGAGCCCTCTTCCCCTTACCATAACAGCATGCCAGAAAATCTGAACTTTTCGTTCTACAACAAATGTACCGTTCCTCATAGAGGATTCGACTCTACGCAAAAGAGATTACAGGAAGCTGAGGACGGTTCAATTTGAAAAGGGAGCACATCAAGTCTCTTGACTACCATAAAGTAAGATTCGGAAGAAGTACGTGCTGTTGAGCCTTTTGGAAGAATGATGCCGCTCTGTGAAAAACGAGTTTGATTGGTGGGTGAAGCAGGAGGAGGGGGAGGAAATTTAGGGAAGAATTTTCATAACTTCCATTACGAGATTTTAAAGTTTCCTCAAGATGGTACTTCTCTCGAGTGGCAAATCACCAATTCTAGTAAAGCGGGAAAATTCTTCACAATTTTCAATGAGATCTTTCGGTGATGGGAAGGTGTTTTCACACTCGACGGTTGTAAGAAATTTGTTACTGGTTTCATTCACTGACAGGGCTTACGTTGGCCTCCAGCAGCAACCTATTCGCCGATTTTCTGCTTTTTTTTATTTGCATTCACATTCAGTGGTCGTAAGTATGTACATTACAAGCCATGAATGTCATTTTGCGAACAAAAAATGAGGTACTCTATGTTTTGTACATGTCATCCTCGTAGCCTAGTTAGATCTCTGAATAGTTGTGTCACATTCACCTGTTTTAACAATGCATAGCTTCTTCACGATTCCGATAACTAAAATTTCCGTCGCATTTACTTTAACTGATACTCTCAAGGAAGCCTCACCACAACTTCAAACTGTTTGAAAATGGGGAGGGGTTTCCTCAAAAATTAAACTGTAAGGAATGGATAACGAAAGGTCATTAAATGTGCCGTCTATGTCGATTCTATAAAGCAGTGAACGAAAAAATATGCATCTCAAAGGCTCACGACACAGCTAGACTGTAAATCTCAGAATGACTTAATTATTCCGGTCAACAGAGAGGAATTTCAGAAAGGTTTCAGGGCTTTCAGGAAGTAGTGGCGGTGCAAAGTTTAGTAATTACGACCAAAGCGTATACTTTACCAAAAATGCCCCAACACTTCCTGTCCAAAAACCATCGGATATCAAACCGGGAGCCGTTGGTATTCCAAACAGTTTTCCTAGTAATCGAAAGAACAATGATAAGACAACTTTCAATCCGAACATCAGTAGAATAAGTTAGAAGCTGACTTAGTTCATAGACCGTCCATGAAGAGGCTCAACTGTATGAATAAAAAGGAAGCCACAAAAGGGCGAGACAATGAGGGAGAGAGGGAAAGAGCATACACAAGTAAGTTATATCCAGCAAGCAGTTGTAATAATTAATACCAACAACTTTATTGTGCTTGATTAGGGTGGTGCTGCGTGAGATCAGAGTACACATTATTACTTATTCAACAGAGGACCACTAATTAGCACAGAGAAGAGAGGGCACTAGAGATAACCGCGCTATCTTGTCTGATTAGTTATTACCGCCTTTTCAGTATTCAGGAGTGCAGGCTTTTTTTGCGTGATTTCACAACTTCCTTTTTATAGACATTATTCGCCTTGAGAAATACTGTTCCACAAAGATGATACGAAGAACACTCAAATCAACTTTACAGGTTCACTGATAAAAAGACACTCCATGCTGAGAATGTTACATCCGGTAACAAACGCCAACTCCATCCTGTCACACACTGGTGGCCGACACACATGTCGCATTAACCTGGCGTGCGACGAAATTACACCCTTTCTATGGGAACGGTGAACACAAGATTTCACGAAAATTTGTAATAAGAAAGTTAAAGCTGATTTGTGCGTGTTTCAATGGAGAATTCTGTCTGGGTCCTTTGAAGGGTGTCCAGGCAGTAAACGCTTTAGCATTGATGGCAAAGTGAAGCAGAATGTGCCAGGATAAGGCGGTTCAGCCATGCAGGCAAATCTTTTTGTGATAGGAGTGTTTCTAGGCGTTATTTCGACGTTGCCACAAATGTGTATAAATGTAGCATCAGAGAGTTGTCTCAAAGAGTAAGTATTTGTCACTCATCGGGTTTGGCTCTTTTCTTTTCCCCTCCCACAGGGAGTTTTGGTCTTACAAACTCACTTCAGGAAGCTTTTGGGTATGTTTTACAGGTGCGCTACCAATCAGTATAACACCCGGTACCTCATCATTAAAAACTGAAAAGTCTCAAGGATCAAATGATATAGTTTCATTTACTAAACTTGTAAAGCTTCCTTTTTTCTGACGTGTGTAACGTACATGAACAAAGTGGACAAAAACTACCACCAGATATTATCGAATATCTGTTTTGCATCCACAGAAAATGAGGTTTGGAAGGTAAGGAAGATGTTTGATTTGAAGAATAGACCTAGTAGGCGCACCTTTACCGAAATGTGTATCCTTTAGCGGCCACTTTACCATCATTTCCGTAAACACTGGCTCGCTTTTAGGGGTTTTAGAACAAATTAAACACAGCCAATAGTAACATTTTACTATTTAAACTCATATCAGCTAGAAATGCCTTGTGAACGACCATTTATGGCACTGCCTAGTAAAATGAAAGGTTTGGAAGAACTTGGGCGAAGACTTTGGCTTGTGAAGTGCATTCCCGAACTATTTTAACAAGTTCCTTCACCTTTTCAAAACCAAGACAATATATTCATTCGGTGTTCATGACTGCAGTCCAAAATGACATTTCTTCATAGATTTAGTCGTCGTTACTCTAGTCAATGCCTGAAATTCCAATTTGATATCCTTGTGCTTTTTTCCGTAGGGAATGGTAGAATGTTGGTGTCTCTAGTTAAACCCCGAACAGCCAGAATTTACGCCAGAAAGAGCTACGAAAGGATATTCCATTAAGATTCACTTACACGACAAAAGGTTAGTTTTCTCAACCCCTTACGTAATAAACCGATAATCGCCTAAGTGAGGAAGTGATAATGAAATATAATTGAAGAGGGACAGAGAAACCCAGTAACCAACTCAAGAACTAAAAATACATCCTAAGTCATTACCAGTGATAAAAAGGGGTAAACAGCTCTCTGTGAAATGCCACGACTCAAATTAGGGATAGAATTCACCAGTATGAGTGAACAAAAAAAGGGAAGAAAACCTACAGGCGAAGCTGTGAGTGGCGTAGCGCGTCTTGTAGGGCGGTTCCACCTTGGCATTGGGACTGCGCGAGGCCGAGACAGGATCGAGGAGATGTGCAGTGCGCGTCTTCTTCCGTCGTACTCGCTCCTCTTCCAACAAGATCGCCTTCAATTGGTGATGAAAAATTGGAAAAAAAAAACAAACAATGAATGGGAAATGTAGAGTTGATTGTTTTATGCACTTCTGAGCAGTCCATTCGCGCTGTTAGCCTTCCGGCCCTTCCACTACATATAGTTTAGCAGAATTAAATTGATATGTTACTAGACGACTTTTTCAATCTCTCATAACTTCCTTCGAGATGCTCCAGGCGCTATGCGGATAATAGTGATAAGGGAACCTAAACCAAAACAACAAAACTTTCGATTTCTTTGGCCAGATACCATGCTAAAACACCGAAGGAGAAAGACACAAACCTGCAGGGCGGCATAGGAGAGGAGGCGTTGAAGCCATGTCAGTTTTACGTAAATACCAGGATGAGAACAAAAGTCAACGAGCTGAGCCTGTCCGCGCACGAAACTATGCAATACTGGTACAGAAATACGATCTCTGTTCATGATTTCAAGATTTGACATCTACTTTTGTTGCAAAAGGCCCTAAACAAAGCAAATAACCGATTCGGCAAACGCTAAAATGACAATGCATTCAAAAGGATACATGAAAAGACCACATGACGATGAGATAATGCTCCATTTTATGATTTAATAGAGATGAACATTTATACGAAGAGCGAGTGACTTATGGACGATGCCCTGGAATTCCGTTCAGCCCTCAGTTATGTCGACGCGATGGCGCAAACAGTTGCCTCATAAATGCAAGAGTGATTCTAACACACCCAACTACAATGTGGCTGCCGATACAGGCAAGCAAACCAAAAGAAGCTCAAAAGGGAGGGTGGAAAGCTATTTGGCAAAATAGCTCGAGCGCTAAATACTGTAACTGGACATGAAATGACATCATGGCTAAATTTAATATGGAAGGACGGAAAAAAAATTCTTTACGAATGCAGAAACTCAGAATCGTAAAGCTGTTTTTAGCTGAAGCCTTTTAAATAATGGGATCGTTAGACTACTTCCCGCGGTTAATGATGCAACAGCCATGTCAGTGAGGGTAGTGTGGCATAAACGGAATTCCGTTATAGGCGGCAGTAACCAGCTTTTAATGGCCGCCATTAATGTAAAATTAGGCAATAGATGTACCTAAGTCAATGCTCATGTACAGTATTATGAAAGGGCTTTGGCGAACCCGGGGTTTTGAATAACAGGACCGTATTTGGGGGAATTAGCATTCAGATGGTTCAAAAATTTCCATACAATAACGACCAGTCTCCTCTTCTTCCACTTTTCATTCATTTTCATAAAAGTTTAGTTCCGGAAAAAGTTCCTAAAAAGCTAAAAAGGTTAGAGAGGAGCAATTTAGCAAGTTTTCAAAAAATGCTCAATCAACTCAAACAGCAGTAAATGTTAACCAATCGCCTTCCCAAAACTCAGGGGCGAAAGAGATAGTTATGCAAGTAGTCTGCAAAATCACGCTGCGTGATGATTTACAACTTCCGCTAGGCATGCTAAGCATGAGAGGGGGGCAACTCAACACTGGCCACAAAGTGGTGCACCAATACCTGTGCGGATGGGAGCACTGCTTTTTTCCTATAGTAACTTCAAAGGCGGATAATTAGCTGTGATAGCAAGCCTCATAAACTGTGCTTTATCTGATCAGTGGGCAGTAGTCGCAATCTCCTTCAGATTTGAGCTAACTTGGACGGAACTGAGGGAAGAACACTTTAGAATGAACGCCGATGAACCTAACTGACTAAATAATACAGTGTAATTTGCATCGTTTTTACCTTTTCCCTCAAAGGTTATGTGGTAGTAATTATTGTACTGCAAAAAAAAATTTCCTCCCGGTAATGGTAACTATCTTTCTTCAGTTTTCGTGGCCTGCTTTGTAGCCGGAGCACTGTTTACCTGATCAAACGAACAGTCGCAACAAATCCATCATAAGTACAATTTCCAATACGATTAGAGTTAGAAGTCAATCACACTGGAAGGAAAATAAAACCCAATTCCCTGACTATTGAGATCCAGATGCGTGAACCATGTGTATTGTTTTCAATAAAAGAGGTGACTACACATAGGCCTCTACAGATACCAAAGCTAATGCATTTACCACTAGGCAATCTGATAGAGGCAATAGATGGAAGAATGTGCAGGTGGCAACGCAGTATAACTGTATTAAGCGAAACGGTATTGTTCATCTAAACAAATTACAGGCGGGGCGACTTGTGTTTATGTCCTAATAGTTAGGAGTACAAACACACACGTGCACCTTTTAATATCGGCGCTTTACGGTGGTCGTGTTTAATATCCGGATTGCGTCGTCGAGGTCTGAGTTTATGGTCAAAAAATAGCCCCTAAGTCTCGAGGAATAACTTGGAAGCTTTGTGGCGGAAGTAAAAGATCTAAACGAGAATTGGATTATCACAAAAGTGGACGGTTAATAATCTCTTTCAATAGGCCCTGCAAAAGTGGCCCACTCCAGATTGAGGCGCCAAAAGGAGTCGGCAAGTGAAAAAAAGGCCAAAATCGGTTTATTCAATTAGAAGGGAAGAGGAGCAATTGGATTAGGACGACTGCGGAAATGCGCCAGAGCTTTATCAGTTCCTTACAGAAGTAAATCCAGATAAAAATTCGATTAGCACTAAATAAAATATTGGATTACAGGACGTTCAAGGGGAGAAAGAACACCAAAATTACTTGATGATTAGTGTTTGCAGTAACTCCAAGTAAGGAATCGGGCTGAATTGGAAAAAAAAGCTACAGAAAGCCTATAATTAAGTCGAAAAGAAGATTCGTTCTAAATTTCCCATGATCTTTTGTTTTGGTTTCCCAAAACGAGAAAAAATCGGGACTTAAAAACCCTTAAGGGTTGGGAAGCTGGGAAGATGACTAGACAGGGCATGTTCTAGATACCAACATTAACATGCACAAAGCCATTCCCCTTCATTTTTGCGTCATGATAAGTGCAAGATAAACCGCACCATGAACTATAAATTTTGCATACACTACAAAAACGACTGTGTGGACTAGAGATAAAAGTAAAGAGCAAACAACAGTAACCGTTTGGCAAAAGAATGACGGGAAAATTCGTCAAGAATGCAAAAATGTAGTCGGGGTAAAACAAGGCTTAGTAAAGCTCTCTACGCAGGGCGTTAGTTAAAACAAATTTCCAGAATAAACCTTTTTTGTGAAAAGTTGGCACTATCATATTTGTTCCCAGTAAGCCCCGAAGTGAACTGCACGCTGCTGACTAGGCACACTGATCACACCAAACAAGTCCATCAGATTATCACACAAGTATGCGATACGGTGTGGTCAAGTGGTTAGCCATGAATCCACTCTGCGAAAACATTCCCGTAGTAATAAAAATGATATGGACTTTCGACAATTTAAGGTAAATATTAGAAGGTGTAATCAACTCCAATTTCAATGACCGTTTTCATCTACCAATAGAAAACTCGCATACCTCTAGTTAAGCTATCTTCGCTTCCCTAGTAAGGTTCATTTAAGAATGTAACCAATCAAAGCGCAGTGCTTTGTTAAAAATTAATATAAACTACGTTTTCCAGTTGAGACTCTACTGAATCCTACTAACAATTCAGTGACCCATTATTCGATGCAAACGAATTTGAGGCACTGACACAATCGGAAATTGCTGCCAGAGCTTGAAGTGATACAAGCTCAAGTGGGGCTTGCTTTGGCGACCGCTTAGGTTTAACCAATCATAATAAAATAAAAAAAAATTAATTTTTTATGCACCACTTCATCACGCAACCTTCCGCGCGTTGAAATTGATGAACACGCCAAACAGGCCATGGAAGACGTGTTGGCATGATAATTGAAATTTACTACTCCCATACTTGCTTCGATTCCCAGAAAAAAAAATTAAATTCGAGCAAACTATCTTGGAAATTATTTCATATATGACATAATTAAGTACTGCTATAAAACGAGTTGGTCGTCAAATAAAAATTGTAAAGAAATAAAGATGCAAAAAGCCTGAGAATTTGGAAAAAAACTCTTCGAAAAAGAATAGAGCCCAGAACATTCATAATTTTCTCCGCGATTTCATCATCTATATTTGAGAGTTGGAGGCAGAATGCTAGCCAGATACTTGATCCCTAAATGAATGCCAATGCAACCGAGCTCTGATGGACTGAGTCGTACGGGGACACCATCAACTATGTTATTAAAGTAAAATGGTCGGTATGTAGAGGGAGATGAAAGTAAGCGTTAGCCACAAGATGGTGGAGGGTGTATTAAAGACTTGAGTGTCTGGCGAATCAAATACAACAACAAGTCATATCGTAGTCCTAAAGAGAAGATAGGCTCTAATTTTAAGGGATGACAGCATGAACTAAACTCCCTAAGCAGAAACCCCCTTTCAGGACTGGTACATACGTGCAAGTATCCATGGCAGACCTAGTAGCAATAACCTGAGCGACGCGTTTGATGAAGGGGAAAAGAGGGACCTTTCACCGTTACGGTGAAAAGTGGAAAAAAAAAACATTGCAAGTGATTTCGCTGAGACAAAATGAGCCTGATCACACTAGTCTCTACATTCTTAATTCAAGCTAGATAGGCAATTCCCTCCACTTCCATCCCACTCCCTCTTTCCGCTTCAGATAAGTGATAAGCGTTGCGACCTTGACCATCAATTAACTCAGTGCCTTGGTTATTAAAAGCGTATAGAACGGTAGCTGAAATTAGCAGAATCGAACAATAAACTAATTTTTTACTGTGTGAAATGTTCAGGACGATAAAATGGTGCATGCAAAGGAATCAGCAAGAGGTCATATGAAAAACAGTCACGGCAACACGAAAGAAAGGTATATGCGTGTGCATGCGTATCACGCAAAGCAGTAGACTGTAGAAACACAAACATCGCTGTTTTTGTACTCACATAATGGTTGACTTTAAGCATAAAAATTGGAAGGGGGCGGGACAACAAAACAGATGACCAAGTGGATATCAGTGATTGAGTCAGATGCGAAAACCCCTATTTGAGTGCTGTTGAATGCAGCTTGATTAATTAAAGCTGAAAGCCACCAACCAATCAAAAAAATTACGATTTTGAGCTGTTTGAGCCTGATACCCACCAGAAATTTGCTATTGATGTAGATAAGGAGCAACGAAAAGTTAGAGGTTGCAGATAGTTTTATAATACTAAATAAGCTGAATGATAGAAACAAAACAGTAAATGTGAAAACATGGGAGAAATATAGACTAGCATTTGATAAAATTTCTAAAAATACGAAGACTATAAGGCAGCATAGTTATTTGCAAAAGGAACAGGAAAAACGTTGTTGGCACTACTACAGGTAGCTACGCGACATTAAACAACGGCAATGAGCTTATCTAAGAGCAAAACCTCCGCACTTGTGGAGGTGATTATAACACAGAACGAGAGTTCGCCTAATTCCCCACATATATTCAATAACCGAAAATGTACTAGTTGACACAGAAGCTCACCCCAAACTCGACAAAATGTAGGACTATAGTGTAAACGCCCACATTAACACGATTCGACTACTTCTAGTGCTTGTTGGGAACCGTGTAAACACCTATTTGCAAAAAAAAAAAGAAATCAATTGTTACTTGCTGGAACCGAAGGGAGAAGGGAAAGAGAAGGAGGAAAATAACAGCATCTCCAAATCACCTCAGTCAATAAATGGCCACCTAAAGCTGAAGTAAATAGGAGAACAAAGGAGAAGGAGGCACTCACCCTGCCAATACCACCAGAGATGCGATCAAGATCGCAGTGGCTACCGACTGAGGTGTCAATGCTGAGGTCCTCCACGCTCTCGTCTGAACTCGCCTGCAGAACTCCCTGCTCACGCAGCCGCTGGCGCCGTTCACGCACTGAAAGGGAGAAGAGGGGAAGCCGATATAACCTGTTTTAATATGCTCTCAGGTGTGTAGAATGGTTCTCTCTAACTACGAAAAGGTGAAAGCTTGCTGATTCACCCTTAGTCAACAAATTGGACTTAATTTGCGGTAGCAAGTCTTAGCAGCTGATTATAATACTTATTAGGAGAGCGGAGATTTCAATATAGTGAAGTGTAAAAAAGTAGGCTAGACAGAGCGCTCAGTCACTTTGATTTACCAATTTGAAGCAGAAACTAATCTGTTGCGATATTACCTGAATGTAGAAAAGAAATTTAAGGGATACATGCTGACATAGGATACATTATATCTCCCTTTCCGAGTTAGGAAGTCTTTAGCTCTTGACAGTGATGCTCCTTTAAAAAAGATGCTTTAAAGAGTTTGATGGGCACAGGCAGCAAATAGATAATTCGTATTTTACGACATTCGAAGAATTCAAAAAGTAATTTGACGTGCATCAGAAACAGCTCTACAATGCAATACCGACTCACAAAATTTTAGCCCATATGTGAACAAAGACCGAAAAACGCCCACCCAGGACAGCCAAAATCGATGTAGCTTCATTCAAGTAAGGAATTGGAAGCCCAAACACTCAATTTTTTCCTGCTTTTCATCACAAAAAGCATCCATATTAATATGATATACGATACTTGATCACAAAGCAAGGAATCTCACATAGCATAACTAGAGGAGATGGAGCACTCATTTGGGGAATGAGATTTATCTATTACGGAAGGAGCTCAGACCACTAGAGAAGCAATTCAAGGATATGTGGTGATGCGTAAAACGTTGTATTTCGTTGGGTATTGCCAAAGGCATTGGATAACGATACTCTATCGCAAACAATGACAATGTGAGTGGTGTCAAATGCGTAAAGAAGCCTTATTCTATTGGAACACCGACTTTGCCTCACCAAATGATGGTTGTGCCAAGTATACTGCGCTATTTGAGGGAATAATCTTAGAAAAAGGTGACAGGAAGTGTGACTGCTACTTCCGTATTTACAGCCGGTCACCAATGGCACGTAAGTAGGAAGCAACGTTTGCGACCTCAAAACATTTTAGTGAATATATGAACGAAAGCCGAAAACAGTCACAGCTAGATCAGTCTAACAGATCAAAGTAAAGTTGAAAAATCTCTCCAGTGCGGCGAATCCCAGTCTAGTGATCTCTTTGCTCCCTGTGTACAAAGAATGGGGAATAAAGATTTTGAGCCATTTGGGTTGAGAAATAAGGAAAAATCGGAGTGAATTTCCCTACTGAGACGCTAGAATTATGTCATGTTCTCCTTGAAAATTAAGTGGGATGTACATAATTCCGAAAGAAAAGATTCCTGCGTTGACTGTGAGGAATTTTGCAGTTCATCCTTTGAAAGGAATCAGTAAACTTGAAATGAGAAAACTTCAAACTTCCGCTACATCAGATCACTTCCGCGCAGGCATTTTCAATGGCCAGAGTGTCCGGAGAGTCGCTACTTATGTGAAACTCAAACTAAAATGAATCTGTTCGTGGTTACTCTCGATTCCTGGTAACTAAAAATATGGAATCGTACTCTTGTTAACGCCTTAAATAAACGCAGTTTGGGCCTCCTTCAAATTTCAAAGGTATTTACTCCTTACAATCCTTCTGCTACTTCACAATGCATTATTAGCACTACTTTAAGTAGGCTACGCATTTAACGATACTCCATTTCGTAGCACAGCATTAAGTCACACATTCTTATCTTGGATACATCTGATGTGAATAAAAAACTACCTTCACCCCTCTCATTAGCTCTCTCCTCTTGAAAACCTATCACCGTTATTTGACACGTAGCTATTTTAAGCCGTTAAAAACGTTGAAACAAGCCGAAACTGCGCATATTTCGAGGGAAAAATATACACATACTATACCATATACATATGATACGATAGTGTGACTCACAGTATACCAAACACTTTAAATTCCGTGCTACAACTAAAAGGCATTGTTCCCAATTGCAAAGTGTGGGCGTACAAATCGCTGCTAAGCATAAACGCTCTCTTTTGCGTGCAGTATATGGAAAAAAGGCTGTCTATTATTCAGTAGAAAGGGAATGCAGAGAGGCGTACAATAGAAAAGGGAGCGATAACAGTTTTACTAAAGAGGCCAAAAGAACGCCGCTGTTGTGTCTCGTTCATCGTTCCCGTTACATTTCGGCTATAGCAGCTGGTTTATCACCTAGATTTTTGGCAGAACAGGACCCTGCTGACTACGCGAATGCTTGCTTCGAAATGCAGTTCCAAATTGACTCGCGTATGGACATCATCGACTTTTTGGAGCGGGGAATTCGACTATTCCTTTTTTAACATACCGCACATGGAAGTTGCTCATGCAGTTACTTTTGTGTCAACTTCTTTTTTAGATTTGTAAAGGCCAGGCGAACTCATACCATGGAAAGTTAGTAAATTGTAAGCCATACAAACGAGGTATTTGTAATAAAGTGACTCGTTTGTGGCACAAAAACATCGAACAACAAGTTCAAGTGACAGTGGATGGTCTTAACTGCAGCCTTAAGGAAAACCAGAACCTCATTATCTGGTTCGCTTCTATGTGGATCACTGTGATATTAAATCGCTTCTTCTAGCTCGTTACTATGAGGAGCACAGCTGCTGCAATTTTGTCCCATCTCAAACTGCAATAAGGTTCACTTACAGACCCACAGCTAGATAACAGAACGAAAGCACAGGGAGAGAATGTTGGTTCATTAAATTCAGCGGTAATTAGACTGACGACTTTTAACAATGCTATAAGAGGACCGCATTGCAGTGAGCATAAAATAGAGGCGAGGGGAGCCATCAATTGCCTGATCCTCCCAAAACAGCCCAAAAACAATAAAGTATGCTTCTAACCACACAGAAGCAAGATACCTGAGGTCAGAGCAATCAATGATAAAGGTCAAAGGTGATTTACCAGGGCTATCAGAAATACTTACATTTGTGAATCTGGTGTGCAAAAGGATACGTGAGTTAAGTGGGATTTAGGTGCAAGAATGATTTTAGCATTGCAGACTTTCATCTAAACGCAACACTGAATGCCCTCCTCGTAACTTTCAGAAGGCTATCTGATTGAACAGTGGAACCCTAATATAAAACACACAATAAACATGAATTCCGTGCAATAAAAACACCTTTCAAGGTAGTCCAAAAGGGAAGTTTATTTGGGCAGATTCTCGAACAGATAACTAATAAAAACATCTATTCAGTCATTTAAAGTGCGCGAAAAAGCAGATTGATTAACAAAGGGGGAAATTTAGGAGTTGTAGCACAAACCTTTCGTTATGTCTTACCAATAAATACAAATTAATCTAGCAGTAGAGAAACCAACTGCCTACGGTGCAAAAGGAATAAAAAACTTACAACCAAGCAGACCATCTGCACTGCTCTCAGGCCACTTGGATCGGTGTTTTATAGGACCAAAGATACGGCTATAAAAAGAAACCATGCCACACGTGCGTTCGCAAAGATAGATAAGGAACCAGTCGACTAAAACGGACAGCAGCTAATGGAGGGGATTGGATGGGTAGACGGGTAGGTGGGCACTACAGTGGCAAGTCTAGGTATTACATTAGATATCTTAAGACTACTACGCCTTAATTACTGACTGCCATCCTCAGAGCTAACTCAGGTATTTATATTCACCAATTACAATTAGACAGATATGAACAGATTCGTTGAGTGGGTATTATTTATTGAAACGATGGATTCTGACTGGTCTTGCCCATATAAATGTGATGGCAGTACTCGAAACGTCTCCTTTATCGTGCGGCATAGCATCCGCTGAAATATGATAAATGTGCTAAAAGAGCATATTTTGAAAAAGAGTTGTTATTTTAACTGATGAGGACCACCACGGGAGTCCTCACGATCAGTTTCTTTTTCTAAAATGCATTGAGAAAATTCCGCTTATGGTCATCTACCAGAAATCTTTACATAAATTCCGATTACCGAATGATTTTTGTGTAGAGCTCTAGTTCTCAAATGGATAGGAGAAACATGTTCACGAAACAGAACCCATGTTACCTACATTTACCAGTTTTCGCAAACAGACTTTGACGACAGCGTGCTATCCAAGGGTAAGATTTCCTTCCAGTGATGACGAAAGAAGGTCAACAGATAATACAGTGAAGACGAAGGGCAAGTTTTTGATAGCATTCAGTGAGAAAAAAATGAAACATAAGAGTGTCCAACATTTTGACAATTGTGCAAAACGATAAATCAACTACCACTGCCACATCTGTAGATAGAAAACAAGCCACAAACACTAAAACAATTGCCCAAAGTTGGTCTTCCGTGTGGGCAACTCCAAATAGTAACAAGTAAGTCTCAATTCTGAACAAAGAGGCTAGAGGTTAATTAAGAGTGTACTCTTTGATCGTCATTTTTTTACTAATGCATATTAATCTCCCGCTTAAGTTATCTGTGTATAATGCTTACTAAGACTGCTACAGAGGTGAAATCGAGATACCGACTTGTAAAATAAAGTAGAACCTCAGGACATTGAAAATGTTAGTGGTTTTAAGAACGAAAAAGTGCCATTTATGAGTAGAGAAAGAGAGACAGTGCTGTGTAAGTGAGAGGTGAGCAGTGAAAAACGCACTGAGTTCGGCGGTCATAACAGCGGTGGAGGCGGGAGCCGGCCAATCATAGCGCTCAATGGCGGGTACCAAGGTGGCATCTGGTGGCTGACCGGAGGGGAAACTGGCAAGTCGGCGCGCCTCCAGTGAGGCTGCCTCACTCTCCACCAGGGTGGAACGCTTACTCAAAGCCACGCCCTCTGCACCCCCTACGCCGTTGGTGGGGGAGGTGACAAGGACGGTGGTGAGATGCCCCACAGAAGACGGCTGTGCCATCAGGGCATCACGCAGGCTCGGGTTGAAGGAGCGCGAGGTGCGGGACATCCCTCCCGGTACTATGCGATTCGGCTCCAAAGGAAAGCGGTTACCTGCAAGGCAAATCACACATCCATGTCTCTTTTGGTCATTTTTGAATAAAGTGCACGACGATGCTAACAGCTCAAATCACATCCAAACATAAATAAAGGTTATCGTAGATTCTACTTCCTCAGAAAGTGAACTCACGATCGTAGTCAATTATTACCAATGAGAAAAACATTAATAACCAACTCAGTTCAACATATCACATCCAACTACATGTCGGGATATCATTTACGGAGAAAAAGTGGAATTGGTTCATCACAAGACACAGATAGGCTCAAGGTGTCAATTCGAAATGGTCCCGGCATTAAAGTTTCAAATATCGGTTCTTCATAAAGGTGGTACCATGCCTACTTAGAAATTGATTGCTACCAGTAGTCATATTTCACGCAATTGTACTTCGAGAGATCCTTGATTAGCAAGGAATGAGCTGTTCATCCACTCACCCAGAAACGCACATTAATACTAACTTGTCAGCTAGTTTAGGGAACAGAAATGTCCCAGCATAACATTATATTTCATTTGAAATAAGATTATGACCTGCAACGGTCCAGCCCACATCTATACTAATCTCCTGAACGTTGCTTGAAATTGCTCCAGATTTGAATGTTTAAATGCTAGTTTCTTACGAAGGAAGTTCAACAAAGCTGCTGTCCTAGTTTGAGAGTTTACTTTCAGTAAGACTGTTTACGTCAACAGTTAACTCGCTCCACCAGCACACCTCCCCTAACCATGGTTCTAGATATCCTCGCAATCATTAGAACACTACAGTTCTACAAATAGTGGATTGTTAACCATCGATGCAAAAACCTTTGTTAGGACAGAATTTATTCGCGTCCATTCAAGAGACCCCATCGAGAAGCACATGCGAAAGGTGGAGGAAATGTCACAGCACTAAGTTCTCCCTAACAAAGCAGACTCAAAGTACTACGACTACATTTTTTTTTAATTATGGGCAAGAATATAGGTAAAACCCGGTTGTGTGCAGCTCTTCTGTCAGTGACATGAACAGTGCTCTGGGCCTAATATCCACATTTGGGCATTTTTGTGAAGTGTCGTTAGAATCTTCCCCAGTCAAAAAGCATCAAAGTTCCGCTTGCCATTTATAAAATAGAAGTGAGCTGTGCGTTCACAGCTTTAATTTGGCAAATACTTGGCACATCTTCCATCTTTCGGACAAATAGCCAAACAAGCGTCGGCGGAGCTAAAATCGCCTTGGTAAATAAAGCAGGTAATTGAAGTGAGTCATTTAAGGCTTGAAAACACACTGAGATGAAACATTCGGTGCCAATGAAAATAGATCGAGAAATTGGGCATCCCTAAATGTGCTCGTGCTTGCCAGATTTATTGTCATCATCAAAATTCATTATTTCAAAATAGTAACTGGCCATTGTCAAGTGTACAATAGGCACTTCAGTAATTACAGCATACGTGTTATTCCTATGATCAAGAAGGCATAAATTAATCAAGGAGGACCAGTAGTGCACTTATTCAATCCTAAGTGTGGGGATCCGATTTATTAATACGAAATGGTATAACGTAGGTTCTACTGGAATCACATTTTCTCTAGCACAGATATAGAGCACTTCAATTTTCTTGTCTCGGCGCAGCGTCACACATATGTGACATCTGTTCTATATCAGTCTACCAGATAAATAGTCACATTAAATTGTCATAAAGTTGACTGATTGAGTTTAACTCATTCAAATAGAAACAGCGCCTTCTTAGTCTGGGATTATCGAAGTTTTTTAGTCTTTGAACAGCAGTTGAATTGGTTAGGTCAGTAGAGTAGGCACTGCCGCTATACTAGAACAATAAAGTGCCTGGGCTGAAATGATGGGTTTTCCTCTAAACGAGATCCCGCTAGAAAGCACATTAATAGTCAATCTTATCCTTAAAGCCAAATTCGACATGAATGAGACCATTTTAATAAACTACTCGGTGTAAGTATGTAACCGAAGTACCTACGGTTGCATTCTTAAACGTGCTTGTGGAATTCACTTTAATCGGTTAAAATGTCTCTTGTCACCTTAGAGAATGTTCAGTGCCCCAATTCAGTAGTATCTCATGCCTCGAAATGTTCGCATTAATTTTCTATAAAAAACGGTTTAGTGAAAGCGAAATCAAAACCTATTAGGAGACGTTCACACCTTCACTTGAAGCAAAAGGAGAAGCGATCGCAACATAGTCTCCATGACTGCAAATTTAAGCTTTTTTGTTTACCAGTTGCTAGGACAACTAACTGCAAATTTATGCATATTGAAAAGTCCCTCTCTTTCGATGCCTTGTGTTACGTGATGGCAAAACAAGGTTAAAGTAGATGGGGAGGTGAGAGCAAGAGAGGAAATTTTTTCTACTTTGTGTTGGAAAAGACCACATAGGAGGCCTTAAATCCGGTATCACATCGATTTTCGTCCACCGAGTGTCCTACGCTAACCCGTTCCTCACAGAAGAAAAAGAGTGAGAGGTAAATGAGAAGTAGTTTGCAGCAAACGGCAAACAGCCTTGAGTGAATGGGCATTCAAGAGCAAGGGGGGACGTATACTAACTATGACGTGAATATGCGCAGATTGCGAAGGCGGCAGCATGGTTCAAAGACGCAATATGCCAGCAAGCTGCGTAACCGGGAGGCAAAAGGAAGATTGAGTTATCTCTTGCCGACAAGGAGTTTGGACTACCCGTTTAAACCAGCGGCATATGCATGGAAAACACACCATACATTCCTCAAAATTTCAGTGTCAAAATGTTCCCACTCCAAGACACAAAATATGACAAACCTAGGGGCCATAGGTATTCCGCTCATATGCGAGCGAGAAATTTCCCTTGGTACTACAGAAATAATGGCACCAAAGCTGGTGATAAATCAGAGAACAGACGCTTAAATGTTTCCTAGTAATCGTATGGAAAAGAAAGTCACTTAAGCAAGCCCAAGTTTATAGGGCCGGCTCCTACCTCCTGTGTCCAGTTACATTCCAATACACTTAAAAAAGAACGTGAAATTAATCAATAGGAAAGTGTCTTTGCAGTTCATAGCCAAATTGGTTAGTTTGTCTGGAGAAATGGTTAAATTAAAACATAAGTGGGTCATCGGGAGAAGGGGGGGGGGAGAAAATTTTAGCATAGAGCATACGCAAAAAAGTTGTGTAATGACGAAAAAGTGTATCATTGTCCAAAACACCAACTCTGAGAGTGGCTACCTCCGGCACTTTTTTTTAAACATTCTTGGTATCTTAAGGGTGCATCACCGTTTTTTTAAGCGAATGACTCAGTTTATGACCATTTTTCGGGGTTACGAAAAAAACTCCGATCACCCGGAAACGCATAGTGTTAGAGTTCAGAATTATTTTTCTTCATGGAATCGATCAAATCATTAAAATATGAGGTGACAAGGTTGCAAAACTGTTTCCTTGATAGCATTTTCGGTTGCGTATTGCCCTATGCCTACCAAGCGGCCACCAAATCTTTGCGCTAGGAATCAGCCAGACCTCATGTGTTAACTCTTGTTTCAGGAGAAGTTCCAATCCACAAAAGGCGCCCTGGTGCATAGTGGAGGCGTTGTGAGCCCAGAGCGTGCGTAGATGCCACAAATGGATCCACATGGGGCTCGCCGACGACAGCTGTTGCTCCTTCTGCCCGCTTGTGGCGCCTTTGCTCGGTGAGTCAGGTCTATCCATTTCAGACATGTGTTATAAAATAACTAGTGGGACGATAATACTTACTACATCAGCTGTGGTTCAAAAGAACACTTTATATTCCCCTGCTTTACTTAGAAAACTCAATCCGTTGCAGATATTTCGCGTTTGGAAGTCATTCACATCAATGTGCTTTTCAAGTGACCCAAAGTATCGCATTAGATCATCGAAAAAGTTAAGCTTTGTTGTTAAATGATGCCTAATTTAAGACTGCTGTTCCCGCCTCGTACCACCATTGGTAGTGGTTAGAGTTTATTATTACCCACATTTGTCTCAGCTCATGTCTCTCAAATGGCTTATTTATGTTTAAAATTTACTTCTTCTCTCAGAGAGACACTTCAAACCACCGTATGGGCGTTCACTACCCACACCCTTGCTAACCAAACGCTTTGTGAATATTTTGAGTTGTTTGCATTACTGCGTTGATTTCACCATAGAAGTCACATTCAGAAGGAATACGATTCGTGGTTAACCTACACGTGGTTTTATTAAAGTATTTTATGAAATGTTAAATGCAAGATATACATAAATAAAGACATGTGGCGGATGAAATGACAATGACCAAGTACCCTTACAAGGAAAGTCTGAAGGACGGTCAGAGGTGGACGACAGTTTTCGACTCTTGAACCTAAGCACGAATTACCGGAATATGAAAAGGACTGGTCTCATCTTAAACAATGAACAGAAGTTGTGTCTAGATGCTCGAGAAGGGCAGAATGCACTTTAAAATGTATGCTAGGGTTCCATTCAAGCCTCCTGCTCCCGCCCCACCTAACATAAGCGCAGGAAAGGAGCGGTTCATTTTGCACGGGAGGTGGGGGTCCTGACCCCTTAAAATACAATGTACACACAAGCAAACGTTAACAACCTCTCCCAGCCCATTTCATGATTTTGTGAAATCTTTTTGTACTAGAGAGCGGATCAAAAGTTGCGTAGACCCCCAATGCTTAAAGGAGGAAAAGGTAGATGTAATAAAACACCTAGTGAGTTATTAGGCACTGACAGCAGATTAGTAGGACACATAAATACAAGTACAAATTACACAACAATGTGGCCCATTAGCTATAACTTGCCCACAATATGGGTGAATAGGCAAAAATGTGCACATAAAGTCCACCCACCGAACAGGATCTAGCAGATTCTTACTGAGAAATAATAAATGACTCGATGAACAGCACGATTATGAATTCATACCATCCTCTAGTAAACCACTACCTATTTCATTTTTAACCTTCGAAAACTCATTTAAAACTCCAGGAAAACATCTATTTTTTTATCCTGTGATCAAAATGACCGGAAAAGTGGAGCAATGTTTGGCTTGGAATTTGATATGACTTCCACCAACACCAGTAAACCACTGTGGTATCAATAATCGTTTTTATTGGAGAGAAGACATTGGAGTTTAAGAAAGGGAATGTTTTTTATTTCCTATGTGGGAAGGTATTTTTTTCCTTCCCGTTGCGCTAAATTGGAAGGGGTAATAAGTAGACAGCTTTGCCTTTATGTAATTCAACTAAATCAATCTTGACACTTTTTAGGGCCTGGGGTTTGAAGAAAGTATGCAGAAAAGGATTTCCAGTGAATTATCTTGAAGAGGTCTAAAAAGTGTGATAAATAAGAGTTAAACACTGTCTGTCTACTGTCTCAAACAGACTCAAACACGGCTACATCCACAAAAGTGGTAATACTAAATGACACCAAGCGATGGGTAGATTTTACTAGTGAGCTTTCTGGAGCACAAAATAGCCAGCGCAGACTTCAAAGACCCACAGAAAATTCGTATGCCTAAAAACAAGCCTACACATAGGAGGCACATTAGTCTAAACCGGTTAAAACACAAAAAAAACACCATAGTTGCTCTACGAATAATAGATTTTCTATGCTCACTCACCCACCCCCCTGAAAATCGAGAGGCGGTTCAACTAGACAACAACCAGATAGTGTTTTGTGAATCTGTGAAATCTTTTTGTTTAATCCTACCTTGTGGAATTCGAATTATGGTTAAGGGAATTGCACGTGTGACTCGCTTTTACGCGTTCGAACAAATCTATGTTAAGTGGAAACGTCTGAATGGTCCCGAAGACTGGATCTCTTGTCTGGGTAAGGTAGTCCAACTACCATAGCATTTAAAAGGAGAGGTTTCCAGGCTGATCAATGTGGACGGTCAAGCAAGGGAATTCATTGAAGGGCTCCAAATGAATGCTTTCCAACAATAAGAAATAGCTCGATATGGCACTGAATGGAGCAAATGAGACAGGCACTGTTGCATAACATCGCAGAAATGTAACTAACTAGAGTCGAACTTATGTTACACAGTAAAAAAATTATTATTTAAAATGTCAACTAAACCCCTAGGGGTAGAACAATTGCTGGTTTCTTGCAATCTTATCGGTTAATTTCAAGTCAATCAATTCATTTCCTCAAGTTAATCGAACCAATTTAACCAATCGACGGAGTTATTTTTTATAAAAGTCTACAACAGAACAAAAGAGAGACAAAAAACGTGCCTGCACTAAGTCACCATATTTCACAAGCGTTTTGGTCGTGGCGCTTCAGTACAAAGCTGATGAGAGCAAGTTCTTATCAGGCAAACTGTATACTAATATGTTGGGTGCATTCATCACAACCGTCACCATCACCTTCTCTTTACTTCGCCCTATTTAAAGCCTGTTATAAAGCCAAAAAACGGGTTTCAGCGAATACTAATCAGCCATTTTTAAGCCAATTTAAAATCTCTTCCCATTTCGTTATCTTCATCTCTTTACCGCTGTCCTTCAGAATTCTGTGACAGTTTTGAAGTCCTCTCTGTCATGCGTAAAGTGTCACGCCAAAATTAAATTTGACAACGAATGCATTTCCGAGGTGTATGTGAGAAGGCATTAAATGCCTACATAGGCCTTAAGCGCACACATAAGGAAAAAGGATTCAACAGGCCACTGAAAGCCTCAAATATGCTAATAATTGCCTTCGAACTCCACACATGCGTATTACTAATGAGGAAGTAATTTTATAAAGACTTAGGACAATAAAAAGGCTGCTGTACCCAACAAGCTTCCAGACGATGCGTGTATGAGCTACCTCCATGCTATCCCTATTCTACCAGTCCCTTCTATGCGATGCATAGCGTCTTCAGGGGTATCTCGGATGCCACGTTGGTTAGTGAATTCCGCCCCGATTTCACAGGCTGGATAGATTTAGGTGCTGTGAAAGAGGGCATTCACCGCGGATGGCTAAAATCCGCAGAAACGGAAAGGAAAAACTATCAAAACCACGGTAAAATAAGCCACCCTTTGAAATAGCCAATTCTGCATAATAAACAGATTTGGCCGAGCTTAAAAGGAGCTCCTCAACGGCATTTACGTGAAAAGATTAGACTGCAAGATACCTCAGTCAGGCGTAATAAATTTGAGAGGAACTAATACAAGGCATGAGCACTTTGTATTGCATATTCTATTTCACGGTTTTGCTTTTGGGCAAGTGATCCGGTGACAGACGATTAACATACGAAACTCGCTCGCTGAAGAATATCATCTAGCCTTTAGCAACATGACAAATAAAGCTACGGTAAAGCTCGAGACAAAAAGCATCGAAATATAAAAAATGCGTCATTATCATCAAATAAATGGAAAAGCACTGTACAATCTCCTTTCTTTACTTGCAGTTAAGTCCACCTCACAAGATTACTAGTTTGATGGCTGATCACAAGGAAGGCCAAGCACGAGGAATAAAAAAGAGAGCCGAATAATGTTTGCATTGTAGAGGTGACCATGTGGTTTGTTTTTCACTTCCACCGTGCTGATGACAGGAAGACCTGCTACTAGTCCCCTAAGTCTTCTGTACGCTTATAATTGACCTCCCTAAGTGTAACTCGAATTCTACACGTTTATTGCTCATTGTAGGAAAGGGAATTGAAGAGACTTGATATACCTACCCTGAGGTATGTGGAAATGCTGCAAATGGGAGATGCTGTTGGAGGTGGCGGGTGTGTGGAGGGCGTTGCGGCGATACATGTCTGTGAGGCGTCGACTCGGCTGCTCTGCGATGCTCGCGTAGGAGAGGTTGTAGAATCGCCCGTACTCTGATAGTGGATGGCGACCGGATCCGTGCAACTAGTGTGATGAAAATGCATCAGGAGTGGTGTTAAATAAAACATATTGTTCTTATTTGATCAAAGTGGCAACATGCTTTCTTCCGGTTAGAGAACGCAGCAGATAAATCAAGCCCCGATGGATTCGTAATGCAAGTTGGTTTTGTTACTCCAAATCTTTATATCAAGACAAATAAGTATGCTTAGCATCAACTTCTAACTTTACAATCAAACGAGGAAATAAGACTCAAAGATATAAGCAAAAGCGCGAAGACCATCATAACATTCTTTACGAGTTCCTTCCGGGGATGTAAAACAAAAAATAAAGTCGCTGTTCTGACGGAAAGGTGACTGAAAACTGCGTAACGAGTGAAGGATGAATAAAATACGCTTCTACAGACGCGAACTGCCACAATGTTTGAAGTGCATTGGGAAACTGCGGCACATTCCCTTCCAGTTAGCGAACTTATCATAGATGCACCAAGCAATGGTACTGCTTTGACATTCTGTAGATTTTGTTCAACAACGCAAGATATTGCCAAACAGGTTACAATATTAAGGGGCTGTTTTTAATGAAGTGTAAAATCTAGTTTTATTTCGAGATGCAACATTTTTCAAGTCCTTCCGAAAGCGTTAACTTCGGTTTCAAAGACAGCAACCTTCCCAATTCTAACCACTCCCAGATTGCAATATCGCGGTGCGTAATCGTGTTTAATAAGAATTTAGTGTCTTCACTCAGATATCTTCAATCTCTCTCCATTCAGGCCCATTATTTCTTCCTCTCAACGACGATAAAATTATCCACGGACTCTCAGGGGTAACTCAAGCTCCACATGAGCCGAGGAGATACCTTTTCGGAGTTATAACAACTTTGTCGCAAAATTTCATGTGGCTTTCTCTTAGTCACAATTACAGCTTAACTGCTACAAATGCGTGTCAATCACAGTCATTAAAAAAAATTTACTGGGACAGCAAGTCTTATTGTGAGCTAAATAACGCAGGTAACCTTAGCGGGGCGAAGAATAAAAATTTTATGGTTATTCCCATCTTGGGGAAGATTTGTTTGACCGGAAAAATACAATCCCGGTAATTACCATTTAGTAAAATTTGATATTTATCGAATGGAAGTACATTGGCAATTGCATTTTACGATGAATCAGCACAAAAAGTGAACAGTCAAGTAGGATCTTGACAGATCTTGGCACCTGCTACAACTTTTTATTATTTATAAGAGAAACCTTGGCTAGGCTTCCAAGTCACTGTTCTTTGGCGTATCGCTTAGTGAAAACAAGTCAATTTAATGGCAGATCAAGTAAAAAGCGTCAAACTTAATAAAAAGAACTCTTTTTCAACAAGACAACGCAAAAACAGTAAAACCTACAGACTGGGAGTGCTGAGGACTGAATGTGCCAGAAGTTGGTACCGAAGTGTGATTAAGATGACCTTGAAATGACCCTACAGGTAGGGTTGCGCTCGCCTTTTGCTGCTGCTGTAAGAAGGAAAAAGAAACGCGTTAAATCATGCACTTGGTCCTCAAATAAATAAGGAAATGGGTCGTTAAAGTAAACGACGCCTCAGCAGACTTTTGTTGTCGTACAAAGTGCCAAGAAAAGATAGTTTTATTTTGTCTCCCTCAAAGCAAACATAGTGGGGGATAAAACACTACTCGACTTTATTTGCACTCGACTGGGCAAATAAATCAAGAGCACATTCTCAACATTAAAAAAGGAGCAAGAGAGGCGCCATTCTTAAAAAAGCGTTCTCAAAACAGCAAATGAGGCAACCAAAAATTATTCAAACTGTTAATCAAAATGCTCTCCCAAAGGCGCTTTCCTTCGTTTACAATTTTTGGCACAAGAATGCCATTTCAAAGAAGGTGCCATTTTGAGACTAAACGCAGAGGCTAACAGGGAAATGGCATATGGGGGAAGGAATTTGCGAATTCCGACTTGACATACCAAAATTCCCACCTTGTGCCTAACCAAAGCGCAAGGCAGGCCTACAATCCTCCCACTTCCAGTTAACATGGAAAGTATGCGTATGGTTTTGATGAAAAAGAAGGAAAGTTGTCGAAAAAATTAACTAACGGCCAGGCAACAATGGGCAAATACCATTGCGTGACTTCAATTATTACTACGCAGGGGTAGAATTTCCTTGCCCGACCCATATCGCCATGGATATCATAACGGATCCAAGCGGAAGAATGAGCTAAATATTTTAAAACCACTCCACACTTAGCAAGTATGATCGCCAATTGTAGTGATTGGAGTGATTAATTAACGAGCCAAAAGTACGAGAATGACATTTCAAATGTCCAGTGGGACGAATCAAATGTAATAAACTTTTAGGGGAAAGGGCGTCCTTAACTTCCAAACAAAGGCATACGACAACTTCTGGGCTGAGTGGGAACATACATCGCATAAAAACCCGATGAAATTATTCAGACAGGCTGTTTGTACACACCATCAAGTGGTGACTTGGTTGGTTAAGTCGTCTTTTTGTTTTATATTCAGCCTCAAAACGGAAGCTTTAGTACTTCTGCTACCGGTGTCACATACATTTGACATGTGTTCTTCATGGGGTTTTAGTTAGTTCATTGACTTTAGAACAATAAAATAGGCGTAGAATATTCCTTGCATGCGGATGATTACACATGAAGTGGGAGTTCGGAAAAGCGAGTATTTATGTAATATTGGAATGGTAAAAAACTTGGGATGAAGTTGTCGGTTTTCGATGAAACAGACCCTGGCGGCGAGCATGTTTAAAATGGCTTGGGCATTTCAAAGGCAAATGAAACCAAGCTGTCGCGTAAGGGACAAAGTATTAACAGAAATCTAGTGTGTATTCTACGGGAAATTGTCAATCATGGGAGCTGCAACACATTTCACCAAACATAGAACATAGTTGGAATAAGGCAACAAACGTTGTTTCATTGCCAATCTTAAAAAAACGTTTGAAGCAACCTTGTCAAGTTTCCAAAATAAGGATGAGAAGATCATATTTAAACTAAAAAAGTAGATCACCCACACATATACACACATGCAAAAAATATCTCTGCATTGAGAGCAAAAATTACCGAAGAATCGTCAGTTTATTTCAAAATTATGAAGAGTTTAAGCTACCTTGATTACCACGAATAAACACGGAATTCACAATGTAGGGTAACTTTAAAGTCAAAGATCTGGCAACCTGGTTGGGATAGCGTACTGCCTAAGCAACAAAACTTAACACATCACGGTACTGATGGAACAACCACATCACACCGATGACATTTGGGCAAATACAACACCTCGTCCATAACGAAGGCGAGGAGTTGAGCACATAGGAGTTAAACTTGCGCCGGAAGTAAAAGAAGTCAACCTTAAGGAAACTGGAACAATTATACGGGAATTCGTGGAACCACTGTAAAATTCTGGTCAAAGCAAGAAGTCTGCAGTCGAAAAAGAAAAGAACAAAACTCAACGAGTGGCTACTCTTCAAGACAAGCCACTAATCCTACACTTACACACATTTACGGCAGCGTCGAAATAGCGCCTGGAAAGCACCTTCGTCACAGAAGGATTCATCTGCGTAGCTAAACCATCTTATCCTGGGACAGACCGCTTCACTTTGCCATTAACGCTGAAACTTTTACAGCCTAAGTACCCTTTAAAGGACCAAGGCACCAATCTTCATTGAACCACACACACGAATTAAATTTAGCTTTTTCCTAAAAGTACAAATTTTCATGAAAGATTGTGTTCACCGTTCTCTTAGAAAGTTGTGACTATTGTGCAATTTCATCACACGCCAGGCTAATGCGACATGTCGGCCACCAGTTGTGGCAGGACAGAATTGGAGTTTGGCCCTGGGTGTAGCCTTCCCAGGATGGGGTGCCTTTTGTTAGTAGACCTGTAGAATGAAAGTCCAGATTTTACTAAAATACCTCCCACGAGTCAACGGCCTTGTTTTACAGTGCTTTCAGCAAAATAATGAGGTTCAAAAATTGTTAACCCTTGCAGCTGTTGACAGTGTAACCCAGATTTAGATGTATCACTTCACAATGTTTTATCAAATTAAAATTGCCAAATGCAAAGGTCTATGTGCCTAGAAAAGGATGGAAGGCCACTAACAGCGGGTGAAATTGAGGTGCCAAGCGTGAATGCCACAATTCAATGAGCGTTGACCGGCGCTAAATTTACGTCAACATCTAGTTGTCATTTGTGCATGCGCATTAACGATGGCCAATTTATGAAAAAAAGCAAGCAAAGCAGGATGGATCACAACAAAACGAAGTGGGAAACGTGCTCATCAGTACTACTGGCTAGGTGTACGATGCAGGTGAAAGTATTTGCATGCGCAAAGAGCCACGCCTCATCATAGTCAATATCATTGGGATACTCTGTGATGTATTAATTTAGCACGATAAAAGGTGGTAATCAGTCCTTCATAATACCTTAAAGTCGAAGCGAATTGGGTAGCTAAATAGGAATCTTCAACATCAAAATTGGTATGAGCGAAAGCCGCGTTTTGCAGCCCATTAGGTTGAATTTAAACTTGAACCTCTTCCTCCTTACGATGTGACTGGGCCAAACACTTGTGATAAACCATGGGATAAGTTGAAAAAACGGTTTCCTTTTAACTCCTTTTAGGGGCAGTGACGTGGTAAGCGTGAGAGAAACGGTTATAGCAAAAAAATGAAACCAGTTATTGGCGTTTCACCACAAAAAACGGCTTGACCTTTAGGCAGGGTTCACATCAGGCAAAGGTGAGTAACCGTCCTACGACAAACAGCGCTCGTCCTCCCCCCCCCCGTGGACGAGAGGTAGAGGGAGGAGGGAAGGGGGAGAGTGGGGTGTTAGACGGAGAGGTGGACAGTTCCAATTGCGTGACAGATGAGTCCAATCGCAGACACACGGTACGTGAAGTGACTCACTCAATCACGAACCTTACCCCCTGCGCTCATCACCATATTCTCATTCCTGCTATCACACCTTGTCGTGTCAACAGCTCCAAAAGCAGACTTCTCCTGTTCACTTGGTATGAAAGGGTCAAAAAGCGGACGGATTGGACATGCATTTCTTTTTGGAGTAATACATTGCCGGCATAGATTTTTTAAACTGCAGAACATAGCTTCACGGTGCCCACAACAGAAGCCAACCTAAATGTTAGTTCGAAAGGTGAAAACAAGGCGATCTAATTACTCACCAAAAGCACATCTCTCCTAGGGAATTCCTCTTTATTTTGAGTTGAGTTTCACATTTGAGAATTTCTTCCGCCTTCAACTTCATCTTACATCATGCACTGCGCAGAAACCTAAATCTACATAGTCCAGTCCAACCATCGACTTTCAGCTAAACACATCGGATTTAGATAAGAAAGCTGAGAGACTGGATTTTTCTCTCCTCTTGTAGTAGTGCGCGTTATCATCCACTCCGCGACCTTCGAGACTCGCTTCCACGACAACCATGACACTAGTCGACCCAAATATTAGCTAAAAAGTGGGGCATATCATGTTGCGCTAAATGACAATTAAGAATGAAACATGCGAAATGCAGTTAAAGGAGGCAGACAATACAATTGGAAACGGATTCATAATATCAACGTAAAACGATAAGAGCCTGTAAAAATAACACACTTTCACATAAATGTCTTAAAAGATAGTGTACACAGCCCTCCAATCCGAAATTGTTCGCCATTTTAGCTCGCCAAAAATCGTGTCACCCCACCCCACAAGAATTTCCTATGATTTAGAGTGGTACTTTTCCTTATTCATATTCCCTTGAACACTTTGTATGTTTAATAAATTCAAGTCTAGGTAGTCTAATTGCCAAAAGCCAGAAAAAAAAGGAGACGTTGACTTTCAACTCAACAGCTTTACACGCTACTGCGGTCAAAACTCGAAGAAATGGCTTAAAAGGGGGAGAGATTGGAGTACCAGTCCTTGGAGCCTTTCTGACGTCGATCGACCTAGAGGATATGCTGAGGAACGGGAAAAACTACACTAGTGCTGAATCACATTTAAAAACGGCAAGCCCAAGAGTCCTGGCTAAAAAGCAATAGCTAAAAGCCCTCCGAAACGGCAGGTTGGTCACTCCGAAAATTACTAGAGTTTTTACCACTTTGAAACTTTTTCTTGCTTCCCGGGATCATATATGGTTGTAGGGTTAGATTATCACCATGAAGCAAAAAATAGAATGTGACCCAGGAAATCACTAGGTAAGCACATGCTGTTTTCAGAAACGGAAGCAGATTCCGAAACGGGAATTGCCGAAGTAATTTGCACTGAAGGAAAATTTTGAACGCAGCGGTTTACGTGGAGCATCCATTCCAGCTCCGCTAGAATCAAAAATGATCCTTCCAGCAGATCGATCCCTCCCCTTAAATTCGGTCTACACTAGGAGAGGAAGTTGCAGATTCTGTCCTTTTCTCGGTACAAAGGGTTGCCAAATGAATGCTTCTTTTGAGTAAACAAAGCGATAGACAATGTGTGTGGCCCTCAACTTTTCAACAAGCAAACAATCCAGTTTGAGTATTTCCTTAATTTGTACTATACGGAGCAAATTGAAGGAGGGCTGAAAATTCAGAGGAAATGTTCAGGAAGAGGAAGTTCACCGGCCAACTCACGGTGATGTCAAGACAGAAATACCATACCGCCTGGATTTGGCGAGAAAAAATTACAAAAATAAAGTGTTTTTTCCAATACGCTTAAGGTTGGTTGGTTTTTGTTAAATAGAAAGAAAAACAGCGTACACAGAAAACAAGACCTTCATTCACAACTGTGCGCTAAAACTACAAAGGCAAGCTTAAAAAAGTGTAATCCAAAGAATGAATGATTAGGGAACTGATGAATTTCATCTGATCTACCCGCCTTCTCCACGTTGCCTTGTCATACCAAGCATCACTCAAGTACAACGCGTGCAAATATACCGAACACGGGAGAGTCACACCCGTGTGCATGCATGGGGAAACCGACTTTAATACGATTCCTCTTTCATCATTTTACCGAATATGTCTTTACCTGATGGACTTTCGATGAAAATTGTTTTAAACTCGAATTCATATAGCGTAGGCTCGAGCGCCAAGAGCAAACTTAAACAATAAATCGAAAAACCACAAGCAGTTTTAAGCGATTACAAGCTTCAAACTCTTCAAAGTAGTAGAACATATTTCATTCATAGCAGTAGAGTAGCAAAAGTTTCATTCTTCTCAAGCTTATTGAAAACATATCACTTGCATGAAGAACTAGAAGAAAGACGAATTCCAATCCCTTAATAAAAGTGGATGAAATGCTCCGACGCAAATTACGATGAGAATGTAAATGACTTAGAATATTTCCTGTTACAATGCAGTAAAATTATATTTATCTTCCGTAGATCGACCTCCACGCTACTGGGCTGTTACTGCCTTTGCCCTTCTGCATGCCGACGTAGCTGAAATATACTAAACGTGCACTCCCTGATTCCCTTTACTTGACACGAATAAATTAACTTAATGTTTTGCTGCGTCTCACGAAACGAAGTGCAATTTTTTCCCCAGCATACCAAACAAGTACTTTGGATGACCACTTTTAATGACTTTTCGGAGGGATAGGAAGAACACTTAGGAAGGCCCTGCCATTGGTTCGTTCATCACCGTGTAAGGGAGCTTAACTGCTTAAACCCGTAAAAAGAGATGCTATTAATTCCCTTAAATTGAGCTAAACAAAGACAGCAAACCAACGAGCGCAAAAACATGCATCCGGCAAATTATTCGACCCCAAGGCAGTAGTGTGCAAAAAGCCGCCGTTGTCAGAGTAACAGTGCGATAACCTTCAGAAGTATAAAAAGGAGAGGAATCACAAATTTCTCAATCACACTCAAGCATTGGAGTCCTGTGATGAGATTGGTGCGTAAGGGTGACAAAACCACCCGATTACAGTAACTCTCCTTTGTTATCAAGCCTATTTGTGAATGGTTAAAAAAGTTATGATATGCAAACAACTATTCCGTGGATTCTTGTGCGTGGTTTCAACATCAATCAAAACCGTCATTAAACTGTCAGGCGAATCACAAAATAACTGGAAAGGGAGTCGTCCTTTTTTGTAGTGAAAAGGGAGTGTTTTGTGTGTGAGTACATGTGTTCGTAAAATCTGATGGAGACAAATGATTTTTACAATCACGCGAAAACAAGAAACACGAATATCCTCGGATGAATTGCAATTGGGAAGTAGTGCAAAAAAATAATGCAGGAGGCTCTCACCAGTATAATTTCCTTCAAAGTAACCCTAATCCAGTTACCATTTTTTTCATCAATGAAACGAAATACATTTCGCTTTTGAAGCCATGGTAGCAGTTTTACCATCATACCCAAAAAGTATTGGGAAAGCTCAATTTTATCTTCTCAATTCCATCTGCGATAATCTTTATCCACCATTTAAAGCCAATGGTCATTGTTCTACTTCCGTGAGCGATTGAAAAGTGGGCCAACTCATGACTTCCGGGCACCAGGATTAACCACCTCCTTTTTATCGACAATCCATATTTTCCGTAACAAATATGGATGCTTTAGGAACACGACAACTGAAACATTCTTCCAACCTTCTTCTGACCACAACAGAACTCGTCTTCCACCGTTTGACGCTCGTAGTGAAACTCGAAACCAGTCAAATGATAACGTTTCATGCGTATGCCCGTACCCGTCAGCAAAGATGATATGGTGGGGAGAAGGGAGGGTTGTGAACCAAGTGAAAAAGGAAGGGCCTCAGTGTAGACTGTACCCCCTACTTTTATCCATAAGGTTGGGACAAAACGCATCGTGTCATCACTCCGAAGGAGCGAGAGGGATGAACCTCAGCCACCAACTGTTTTGTTATCCTAGTTCAGCTCCCTTCGGGAACACTACGGAGAAATGTACACAAGTACATGCTTCAGAGTGGTCTTGTCGTTTTTCTAACTTCGCGCGGGCCACAACAAATCCAGATTTTCCCTTCAAAACTCATTCACCATTTCCCATAAAAAGTTGCTTTTGTTCCACAATAATTTCTAAAACACGCTTCCAAGTCGATTTCGCAAGAATTCTCAGGGGATGCGGTAGCCACTCGAATCAAAACCTTGAAGATTACGGCTGCTGCAGTAGATAAAACACTAAAAAATTATAGGCTGACAAGCTAGGCAAATACGAAGTTCGCAGAAACGTTGTTTAAAAAATCTCAGTGGCCTAGCTGTACTTACTGGGTACTGAAACTGTCCATTGGCAGAATAGTGCTTTCAAAGTTTTGGATTGACAGAATTGATAGACAGCACTATGACAGCCGAAAAAATACCCCAGACAGTCATTCAAAGACGACTTTGAAGTCTGTCTTACTATTTTATAAATGCAAAGTACATTTTATGAGATGATCTTTTGAAAAACGTTTGGTGCTGGAGAAAAATATGCCAAGCTGCAGGAAACAGTTAATTAATTACACAGTACAGAGAACAACAAGTGTCAGCATGATCTCGAACAGACAGTACATGCAAAAGGGACACATAAACGGAAGCAATGGCAGCATTACCTCCTCCCATCAAAGAGCCGACACAAATAATCAGCCGGGGGGACACTCGTTTGATACCTCTATCAACCTTGTTTTCCAATCAAATCGAGACGGTAGTAGGCCAGAATGTAAATAAAGATAACGGTCGCCATTGTGCAGGTAACTCATTACGTTATCCGGTCAACAAAACCCTATGTGGGAGAGGTACAACCATCACCGCTGCTTACCACGGCTACGGTTGTAGAGGCGGCAAAATGATTTATTACCGGGGTAATGCGATCACTGGGGGTAGTTGGAACCTCACACCTAATGCAGGAAAACCGAAGAGAGCGCCTAAATATCTCCGACTATACCGATGTTGATATTGAGCCACCCAACCTCCGCGTGGGGAAAGCAGTAGTCATGATGAGAATAAACACGGAGCGGAAAAGGGACGGAGGGGACACTATGGAGAGTGATCAATCTGCTTTAACAAAATAGTCGCATTTAGAGATCTAATAGTACGTAAGTGGGTGCCCAATCACCCGTAGTTTATTCTACAAAATAACAGTAGTTTGGTCTAAAGGGATTATCCGTGAGTAACCCTAGTTATATCAGAACCTCTTCAACAGAGACAATTGGGTTATTTGGAGGCTCATTCTTCTCAACTCTTCAGAGATATGATGTCTCGCTGAGAAAGCACAGAACCTAAAACTTCGTCTCACATCACGAAGCAAAATGAGAGACTAATAACACAGAAACTTACGATAGAAGGGTCAAGCGAGAATAACTCGCATTCTTATAACATTCCCCTTTTCTTCACTATTTAACAAACCTGAATAGTTTTGTGTTAACAGATAATTTCCGCGAGTCTAAATGAGTGAGTTTCGCAGAAAAAGAACGCGGTGCTGAACTTGTGCTTTTCTGTTCAAATTAAAGTCATGTTCATAGTAGATTAAAATAATGTGATAATGAATGATGTGTCGAATTGTGAAAGCATCACACACAAGGCAGGTAGACGCATTCAAGAGATGAGCTAAGCTAAAGGCATCAAACTGCCACAATTTTTGCTTACAAATTGCCCCATTAACGCGCATCATCGGAAACGCTGTACAGTTTTTTCCTTGAATGTTCCGCGAATTATAACCGTTACAAATGTGACTAATGGCATGGATAAAAGTGATCTGAAATGGGGAACTGTAGGTTCTGAAAAGGAAAGAACTCCTGAACATTGTTTCAAAAAGCAGGGCGAAATGATAACTGTTTCATGTTAAGACCTACAATCAACTGATTAAGTAGCTTTAGCGAAAAAAATCCAATCTACCCCAACATGCCTACAAACGAGTATCGCAGGTAGTGTACATTAAACTGGGATAAAAGCCGTATCACTTGACATCTGCCACCACTATTGGGGACCATGATTCGGCAGGATGAGTCACACTGGATGATGTGTTGTTGCCACTTCTGTTTCTGCTGCTACTGTTACCCCATGGGGATTCGATGACTCAGCGGTGGGGGAAGGAGGGGGGAGACAAGAGGAAAGGGGTCACTGACATCACCAGACGAGAGAGCGTGCGTAGGCTACTTCGCCAAAAGTGGGCGATTGCGTGGCATTTATGAAGTGTGATCAGTGGAAAGCTAGTACCTTCTTAAGTGTTGCAGCTGACAAAAAAACAGGGATAGAGAGGAAATACAGTCGGTTTTACGGTAGGAATTAAGGCAATTGTTTCGCTGTAGTTGGGTGTTATGTAACTAAGACGAATAGTTAAGAGATAATGATAGAGAGCAGGACTTTGAGCTGCGGAGAGATACATGCATTTTGCGCTGTAGAATCGGTTCCATCAGACTCGCCTGAGAAGACAGGTGGGGAAGCATGTATGGAGAAGGTATGATGACGCGGCAATGTTTAAGAGGGGCAGACGAAATGCGTGTGGTGGGCGTGGTACATTACTATCAGTTACTGCCCGGCCATCGGTTTACTTAGCGTCCTTCTAGTCCTACTGCTAACACAATTTCACTGCAGTGAGGGCGATGCAACGCGGTTTTCAGACCGAGTCGAACTGCGCCACTTGATGGTTGCCAAGGCAACGATGCTGAAAGGAGAACTGCGCGATTCATGACGCAAACGCTATCGCCGAGAAGAAACAGTATCCGAATACAGTCACAATTAAAAAGCGACGAAAATGACTAAAGAAAGCTTACTCTTCCACATTCTCGTTGAAATGCGCCTCTGCAGGAGATATGTATTACCCTAAAAAAATTCCAAGTCATTTTCCCCCAGCGTCAGGATTTATTACGAGAGAAACTCGATGATGCCTTGCTCTGATATGAAATCAGCGCTTTCCCCCCACCAAACCGGTCAGTTTAACTGCTACGCAAAAAAAATATTCAGCTAATCTTGGGCCAAGAACACCGTCTCACCGCCATTTTAACGTTTTAAACTTAACCACCCTACTTTAAGGCACGATTCGGTGGAAACGATTATCATAAACTGATGTACAGCAGGTCATATATTTGTGACGTTGGCAGGGGACATGTTAAGGCATTGTGAAATAGCATTTTATCGGTATCAAGTAAACGAAAAAAGTGCAAAACGAGGGAAAACTTTAGAGGACCTCATGTTTAAAAGACTCATAGAATCCGTAAAGATGTTTCTGGGACTAAAAGATACCAGAAATAGGACAACGAGTAAAAACCATAAAGGTATCCAGGAGTGACTTTACCAATGGAAGATACAAGCATCTATTGCTAGTAGCTGTCACGTCAACACAGGAAGAGGTCCAAGTGTGAGTTTACGGATGAAGTTCAAATGAACAAATTTTCTTAATCGTCTTCCTCCAGTATCGATAAATTCAGATGTCTTTTACATCCCAATTAAAAAGATGAAAAGGGTCATACCGGCTAGGTCGCATTCTTGGCTCGAACGGTATGCACATCTGATGTGGTATACGGCTCGAGCGAATCATAGTAGTCTGGCATCTTAGTTCATCCGGATCTTGGATGTATTACGAATATTTATACTAAACTATCCTACTAATCTCTCTACTAAAAATAATTAGTTCTCCACTCTTTCGTTCCAAATATGCGCATTAAAGGAAAATTGTTACTTCCAACTCCGATTTGAACGGCAGCATTGAACAGTGTGATTGATGGAATCCCAGTAAAAGTCAAATTTTTGCTTGAAAAAGATGCAATGATGATGAAAATAATAATAAAATAGTAACTGATTTATCTCTTTGAAAATACTACATACTCTTCTCATTTCAACGCCAGACTAAAAAAATTGCATTGGTTCTTCAGTTAATCAGTGATTTTTTGCATGCTATAACGATAAAGACTGTGCTTTCTCCCAACTCGGGGCATTCGAAGAATACATTTGTAAGGACATCAGCTAATCTTGAATTGACCTGTAGGTAAGGTAATTTTGCCAAGCATCGCAGCAGCAGTGCTTCCAAGAGGGCATTTTTGCACGAAACAAAGATGCGACCACTGGCCTTTGTGTAAGGTTACTTTAATAAAGCAAAGGGCCTATAAATGGTGTGGCATGTATACGGTATCCACTAGGCATCTCACAAAGGATGCATTGCAGTCATATGTTACGAGGAAGCAAGAAAGCAGATAATTCACATATCACATTGTATTAGCGAGTCTTTTTATTTACGAAAGAAAGGGAGACACGTGATTCCAGAAGGAGTGTACGAAGTGGAGAATAAGTAGAATTAGACTGAGGGTGAAAGGTGGCCATTCTAGATGGATGAGACAAGTTCCGCATGTGGAAGAATAGAGAAAATTCTTCTAATCATTAATGAATGTTTCAAATTGATATACCTATACGTATTTTGTGGACTCGTTTTCGTTGCATTCTAGTAAACCCTGACTAATTGACAGTAGCTCAAATGAAAAACTCTGTTCTCCCGACAGCTCTTCACAACTGGAATACCAAAACGAATTGCAAACAGCTTTTGTGATAGAGGCGTATCCATTTTACTCCACCCGCGGTAATTCGGCCTCTAATGATGGCAGTACAGACGCCTGCCACTTCAAGACTCGCGTGTCACATAAAGCCCTTGGAGGCATCTCGAAAATACTAAAAAGAGAAGCCACATTTCCTTTGCAAACATTTAAAACGGAAGTGCCAACGGACTCACCCAGGGGTAGCAGCGTCTGAGATACGCCTGAATAAATCATGCAACTCAGGAGTCTATAAATAACTTCATTACCTTAGCCCACAGACTGCGCGGTCGCTTAACATCACAAATCATCAAGAGAGCAATTAACACTCCATAGAGTAGCGAAAATAAATCTACGTGAGGTTTAAATCAGCGTGTATCTTTAAACATTTAGGCCAATGTATTGGCAAAAGCCTTTAAAATAGATTATAGCATTGAGCGGAGCCCAGAAATCTTTGGCTCAAGGCCACAACCCATGTACAAACGCATTTCCTTGCAATGGCTATGCTAAATCAC